ATAATATATAACAATACATAATAATGTATGATAATATGATATATAACAATACATAATAATGTATGATAATATAATATATAACAATACATAATAATGTATGATAATATAATATATAACAATACATAATAATGTATGATAATATAATATATAACAATACATAATAATGTATGATAATATAATATATAACAATACATAATAATGTATGATAATATGATATATAACAATACATAATAATGTATGATAATATAATACATAACAATACATAATAATGTATGATAATATAATATATAACAATACATAATAATGTATGATAACATAACATATAACAATACATAATAATGTATGATAATATAATATATAATAATATAATATATAATAATATAATATATATAACAATAATATATCCACCTGGTGACAATTCTATCATATACAACATCCTCTCATTCTTTCATTGTTCTTTGATCAGATGAAGGTTTCTTAAAATACATACGTTTCCAAACCACAGTGTAATACATCATTACATGTTTGATATTTCAACTCATCTTCAGACTTACCTCAGCAAGCCCTACCCATTAACACCTACCACTTCAACGATGTATTTCACGTGAGTTATCTATCCTAGTGCGGAACATGAGATTTAACATTGAAAGTACTTTATGTGTTTGCCATTTCCGCTAACCCTAAAACAACAAATAACTTACATGAGATCAGTAAGGAAAAGTACTTACCCTTGTGTAGTAGATCAAGTTTCCACACTTTTCACCTCTAACAAGTACGTAAATTGTGATACCATGTGACCTGATTCTCACACTGTGATTGGAAGATATCATCGCACATACAATTATTGAAGGGCATAGTGCAACTGATTATAGAAACTAAGTTTTCTGAACACTTCCGGATTAGATTTGGCCTTGAGCTCTTTTTTTTTGAGTTTAAGATCGAATGATTTAAAATCGAAATTCCTGACAGAGTAAGAGAGAGAAAGAGGTTATACGTCCAAAACAGGCTCTCCCTCTCTCGTCCTGTTTCCGTATCTCCACAATCACAGCCTTTCCGAATATCTAACGACAGAATCCGGGTTTCGATACCCGTGGTAGGCAGAGCACAGACAGCCCATCGTGTAGCTTTGTGCTTAATTACAAACAAATAAACACTTTGTATGATTTCACACACACAAACATGTATATATCTACTTTTAATCAGTTAATTCTGTATTTATATGTACGGTATACGAAATACTGCAACACAGATACACGAAGGATTACTTTCAGCATGACAATCAATCAGTATAATATCTAGGAAGAGATACTAATTGGTGGCGATTAAACATCAAGAGCCAGTGATAAACTGGATAAAATTTATCTTAGATCCTCTCTAGAAAAAAAGCTTAGAGTTTAATTATCAAATAACATAGATAAAGGATATATATATCATATGGTTGGTAAAAAATAAACAGAGCGATCTTGTAAAACCCTGAGAGTAAAGTAAACAAACATTATCTATCAATATAAAAGACAGGTATGTTTGAATAAGTAGGGTAAATTAATGAGGATCTATTAAAAATTGAAAGAGTCGGGTCCATCTAGAAGTGGAAAAAAGATGACAGACAAGAATAAATGTCTATTTTGTGGTTGCTACAAAAACATAGTGATACAATTTTGTTTAATATAAGTACTTTCCAAATGCAAGGAAAATATTCGGACAGTAGCAAATAACATTTAAGAGGTTTTACAGCAAATTATTATTTCTATTGAGACTAAGAATAAGAAAAAACAACTTGGCACGTTGTCTAACAAGCTCTTTAAGAAAGCGACAAGATAAATGCAAAACGGTAACGACATTCCATGATGATGACAAAACCTTGTACATTTGCTGTTATGTTAAACTTATTTTAAAGTTTTTCTTCATTACCCATTAAAGCCGTCTCCAGCCATTATTAGACATTCCATTTGATAGAGATTTTGAGCAGCTTGTAACTGAAATTACCGATGACTTGGGCCTTTTGGGTACATACTGTCCCATTGATTCTTCTTCTTTAGCTACACCATACAGGACTTTGTTTTTCAGTAGTCTCGTTAGTTGTGAATCTTAATGAAGACATTCCATGATTTCAGTTTTCGCCTTGCTTGTGCAGACGAGGTTTATGAAATGACATCATTAGTTATTCTTTATATAACATTTTTAACATAATGTGGGTGTTGAGAGATTTAAAATTATAGAGGATTTTTTTTTTATATAGCAGACTGATGTCAGGGACTCAGGATACCTTTGTTTTTCTAAATCCAAAACCTGCAAAATTATCAACATTTATATATATACAATAATGACTGACTTCCAATCAGTATTCAAGATCTGATCAAAGGAAGAAGTTATTGAGGCAGATTTAGAGGTTCAATGTGACGACAAGGGGATTCGAGTATTTTCTATGCACCTTTGTTTCTAAAATCCACTGTTTAGAATGTTCAAGATGTATCTTTCGGCTTATACATCAATCAAATTGATAAATCGCTTCAATACTTATATCCCACTTAAAAATAAACAATTATATTATTACTACTTCTGTAGTTGAGCAAACGAACTGTTTTTACGTCTGATTGTTTAAATGTTTAGGGTATACTAAAACCCATTAACCGATGAACAATACAAATTTATGCAAAATTACGGAAACGTTGGCAAAACGCACGCGCAAACTTTTCAATTGAATTTTTAATAGTGACCTTGTATATCAAGTAATGTTACGTTTTATTTTCACTTGAAATGTTATTTCGGCTTAAGGAACACGTTTTCCGGTATCCAAATGATGAAACATTACGAATGTGGAAAAGAAAAAGCAAAGTTTTATCACATCATAAATTCGGTTATTTATTCCTCCTTTGTGTATTACCTATTTTGGTATAATTACCTGTTTAAGTCTATTTATTTGTGCACTTGAAGACGAGAGAAAAATACTATGTCAAACTTGCGTATACCGAAAGAGTTAGACCTAAAGTATTATGCTATATACTTCAATTTAATTATTTCATGATAAAAATATTCCAGTAGATGGCGCAAGATTTCACTAATTACGCAATGATTTGTTGTGATTTTGTGGAGAATTGTAAGATACAACTTGTAAAGTTTGTTGTTTGGTTAGAGCTTGGTATGTAGTCTTATTAAACAAGACTAATTTATGTGGTGTGTGTTTAATCCGCGCATCTCGTTATTCTTATTGAAATGTATACGTGTTTCAAAAGTGTTCCAAGGATATTTAATAACAACGTGAAAATATGAAAATCATGCTTGGAAATATGGGATAATTAATTACAACTCGAGATGGGATTGGAATTCGTTAGTTGCGTAGCTAACTAGTTACTACGTTTGTCTAACTGCTGTATTAAATTTGTAGGCTTAGGAAGTTGGGTTACGGTTAAAAAGGGCCAATCTGAGGTGAGTGTTACTGTTAGTACTGCATTTCAGTGCAAATATTGAATATACAATAATCGTTGTAAATTGATTTTTTCTACAATAAATACAGTTTACAAATTACACCTCATTTTTCTTCTGAAACCAGTAGTAGCAATATTACTCCAAAAGTCTAAAACTTAATGTACACGTGCTGATACTAGTAACAGTAACAACTACAGGTTGGAATTGGAGTTATTTAGAACTTTAAAAATACGATTTTTACTGAACTAAATCAACGCTTGTTATGATAGAAAGATTATAAATGTATATTAAATGAAATCATTTGTTAAAACTTTCATGATCTGGCTGCTAAATGTCAATTTGAACAACAAAAAAGATTATGGCTACAAGTCCCACCGAATCATATGCTTCATTTTTTGGCATTCCGACCAAAAGTAGATCAAATAGTGTGAACACAGAAAAAAATGATTCTAATACTATTAGTCATAGGGATGAAAAATTGGAAATAGTTTCTAAACAAAGAACTGATAGTAATATTGACACTTCAAATCTTAACGATTTGAACCTACAGCCGGACAGAAGCAGTGTCAGCCATTCAGTTACAGAATTTCCGATACAACAATCTTCTACAGATTTTGATGAAGGAAAAACTAATGACGTTGAAGAATATGCACATGTGGAATCTTCACACAAACTTTCACCACCTGTTGGCAGCTACAGTGATGAGAAAAGCTGCCAAGATTCTGTTTACAGTGACGAATTTGAGTCGGATTCACTGCCATCAAATGTTAAAACTGCAAAGAAAAAGCTGACAAAGTATAGAAGACAGAGTGGAAATGAATCAGCTGGGGTAAACAGTAAGTACTTGTACAATACAATAAACATTTCTAATACTTTTTAGCATTATAAATGATAAAGTTTGGCATGTTTTACACATCACATGATAATTCGTGTTGTAATGTTTCACATTGTCGAATTCAAAAATTTCAAACCAATGGCTGTTTAGCATATTCTTGTGGGAAGAATTATTTCAAATTTTTAAAATGTTTTATAAAGAATTCTGGCATTTAATTCACGGTTGTTTTTTTTTTTGCTCTATCATTGCAAAACTCTGATTTACCCCCACACACACTCTTGAAGGAAATAAGTTAGTGGTGGTTTCCAAGACGCCTAATTCTACAAGTAAATTGTGTAAAATCATGCAACAATTTAAATTTTTACTTGCTTGTACTGGAAGATTTAACATAATCATCACATAAGTAGATTTTTACAGCAAAGTATACTGTTTATAATACTTGTGTGAATGTTCTTTTCAGAATCGAGAAGCCTACTAAGAAACAGTATGTACTTTCAACTCCACGGAAAACAAAATAGTAAGTCCCAACGATCAAGTCAGGCCTCCAGGTCCAATTTTAGCACTGGGCCTCAGGAGAGAAACTATGTAACTCAACGGTTACTTTCTGCACGAAGACTGAAAATTAATGAGCTGAGAAATGAACTTGAGGATACCCAGCGTCAAGTTAGGGTATATATATGCAATGTTTTTATTTCTTTGACAAAATTAGGCTTACTGAATATATGCTCGATAAATTGATAGAATTTGGGAAAGCTGTCACACACTGTTAGAATTTTTATTTAAACAAACAAATTACACAGCATATTATTATTGTTTTTTTAAATTATCTGATATATGTGACTGTGAATTCACTTTAACAGATATTTCAAACAGTATTAATTCTCAATATTTATGTTATAAATACCTTTTTAAAAACTGGTGGATAAAGCATGATTGCAGTTATACTTGTCGTAATACATTATTAGGCCTTACATGATTACAGTTATACTTGTCGTAATACATTATTAAGCCTTACATGATTACAGTTATACTTGTCGTAATACATTATTAGGCCTTGCATGATTACAGTTATACTTGTCATAATACATTATTAGGCCTTACATGATTACAGTTATACTTGTCATAATACATTATTATGAAACAGTAATTTGTCAACCACTAAACTAAGACTAACTTACTGGTAATTACTTGGGTATTTTCTCTACCCTCCACATTTAAAATGAATGTGGCATTGGCAAACTTTTATTCTTCTGACACCTCGCCATTTAATAAATTCATTGAAAATTTAATTTTTTTAAATTTACTTTTTTGTTTCCTTATTATCCTGTGATAAATACGATATGGCCCAGATATCTTTCTTCAATTTTACTGTTTTTGAATCTTATAAGCTCTGACTTACTGTGATAAATATGATATGGCCCAGATATCTTATCTTTCTTCAATTTTACTGTTTTTGAATCTTATAAGCTCTGACTTACTGTGATAAATATGATATGGCCCAGATATCTTCTTTTCCATGACA